CCCCCCCCCCCCCCCCCCCGTTTCCATTCAGTTTCTGTCTAGTATCCTGTCCACCCGCCTGCTGAGATCCCTCTCTCCTTCAGCCTTCATTGTAGGCTCCCGCGCTTCTGATGAATCATTCCCTGCTTCTATGATACTGGTTATATACTGTAGACCTCGCAGAGTGAAATCATGTAATCCACAATCAGGTTTAGCATTCAGACCGGTTTTGTGCATTCCACCTTAAATTGTTTTTGTTTTTTGTATCATTTTGTTGTTTTTTTAAAATAAATAAAGATACCATTATGCACATTGACATACCCGTGTATTCAAAACTCATTCTGAATACCTACTCCGAATTAAGGACCTGATATCATCTCCTGTTGCCCTGTTACAACACTTCAAATTGTACTTATGATTCTGAAGATTCAATAAAATGTCATTTTTTTTTTTCTCAGATTGTTGTTTGTGCTATATGTCTTGTGTGCAGCAGCAGAGCGGGACAGATGTAAAGGAAGTTGTAAGGAGTATGCACCTTGTGAACACAATATAAACTACAATAAAAGGGAATCACTAAAAGACCAGGACTCGAGATGAGATCATAATGCAGAACCACAGTAGATATTAGTGGTTCTGATAGAAGTATTCTATTTCTTCTCTCTCGTGTTCATGTATTCATTCAATATGTGAATCACTTGAAGAACAATATTGGGGGGGGGGGGGGGATAATATAGTGAGGCTGATTTGAGATTATGCAAGATTCAGTTGCCAGTTTATTAGGTACACCGAGCTAAAACGTTTGCGGTACAATGCAACAGCCCTGCAATGAATCATACCTTCATGAAAATGCACGATGTTCAGTTTTACATGAAACTTAATGGTCATTTTGAAGGATGTAGTTTGAGCTTCTACAAACCAATGAATACAGTACATGAGGGGAAGAGTTATTGCAGGACATTAGTTTGAGCTTAATAAACTGAGTTAGTTTTTTTAAATGGCACTGTGTGCTGTGTGTGTAAATTAGGTTGCTCTGTGATGGCGTTATAAGTAGAACGTGACATCAGCTCCATTGTCATTGTTGACAATGGAGGAAATCACCATCCAGCCAGTGGGGCATTTTTACCCGGACGTTAGCCTGTCAGGTCATACTTCCTGTTTGTGTATCGCCCTTAACAATGACACTTTTCGGCACCCAAACAAAACGTAATTATTACTGTTGTGGGTTTATTAGGTTTGCAGCTTGTCGTGAAAATCAAGCCTGAAAGCCCAAAACACGAGGTAAAAAAATAAAACCCTCATTCGCCGTATCTTCTTTTCCTTATTTTAGGCAGGGGGGCGGGGTTTCATTTATACATCCACGAGCTGATTCTCGCTTCCTCCGAACGCTTCCGATCTCGGCCGATCTCCTGCACCGGAGGCAGTGCTGCGTTTTAGCTGCGTGTCCTTCTCGCGTCCACAGCGTCCATCTCTGACACTGTTTCCATCATGGTGGACGTTTTGATGTTGATGTTTTTCGCCATCGTTGGCCTCGTCTTCCTCTCCTACATCATCTACCTGCTGTGATGATGATGATGATGATGATGATGAAGCGTCCTGCTCGGCCACACAAACGGTTGCTGCACAGGCGATCACGGGATGTGTGTGTTTTCCCCTGTCCTGCATCCCTGGTTTCCATCATGGACAATGGTAAGGGAGTGTTTCATTGCACATTATAAATGTGCTATTTTACACTACAGGGAGGATTTTACTTGCAAATGTCTGTGTAGCTTTCCATTTATGTAGGCTGCAGTCTGTAATAGTGTGAAATGATCGCACTATTTCACTTGACTGAGCTAATACGATTACTTATCCTTGATAAACTGTACATGTTTGATGCCAGCTGCCATCTGTTTCAGGGAGAGGAGCCGGGTCAAGACACGATGGGTTCCTCATTCGGAGCTCTCCTGTAGGAGGGGCAGGGCAATGCAGCTGAGATAAACAACTGGACAAGAAGTGGAAGCCCCCACTTCTCCTCCTCCTTTATTGGGTCAGGGTCCTCCTACAAAATGTCACTGCTCCCACTTATTTGCAATCAGTCTAACCAGTGTATTATCTATGCTACTGAAGGTTGTGCATGCTTCTCTTTAAAGGAGGAGACATGTTACCTCTGCACAAGTCCTATACATCCATGGATGCAGGACGGTCTCGTAGTGTTGAGCGTAATACAAGGTGTAGAATTTGCCTTTCTAGCAACACTGTGAGCTGATTTTTTTTTTTTTTTGGCTCCGACTGTAACGTGTTATGTTTAGTTTTGACCGTATCATCCTTACGATTTTGTGGCCAACCCTCCTGTGTTTTTGCCTTGGTTGAGTCAGCCTTCACGTCAGTGTTACTTTATTCACGTGCTGCCAATATGTTCTTCTCCTCACTACTATCAAGATTCTCTGTCAGGTTCAAGCCAAGGGGAATGTTTCACTCATATGACTCAGTGTTCTGTACATTAACCATGTTTGTCTGTTTCTGTTTATTACGTTGGCTGCAAAATGACGTCTACGGGGAGCAATGATGTCATTTCAGAAATGCATCAACCGTGTGCTCCTCTCAGTTTTACCACCAAACATATCTATTATGTGTCATGTGGTATCGATGATGTTAAGTTTACTGATGCACTGGTGATTTACTGAGGTTAATGACAGTATTTCACATGACATGTCTAATAAAGATGATTTCGGTAAACCCAGTTTGCTTTCTCGTCATTTCAACACTATATTATTTTAATTTTTTTCCGACATCCGTAATCATTTATTTCTGCTGCACAGAGCATTGCTGACCTTTAATGCTCTCATCATTCCTAATGTCTGTGTGATCTATATCTTAGTATATATATTTATTTACATAATTGGAAAGTGACAAGGGATATAATACTGGGAGACAGAAGAGTATGACTTCCATCAAAGATCCCTGGCTGGCCCAAAACAGGGACATTACGCAAATATTACTTTGAAAATAAGCTTTTATATTTGGTGTGGACAGCTCATGAGACTATTCTTATCAAAATAATGTCTATTGTACTTCATGGATTATTAGATTTCTACGGCCTACTGCTACATTGCCTCCATGCTGAGGTGTATTATGGAACAGTATTATTATATTATTATATCCTGAACTATATTATTCAGGACTGTGTGCTGCTGTAGTCCGGTGGTATATAAATTAGAGTCATTGACCTTGATGGAGCGGGAGATCTGCAGTGCAATGAGGACTATAAGTTCCTCCCGTCACAACAAATATATTCCTTCATGGGACATAATCTCATTAAACTCTGTCTGATGCATGTTTGTGAAGGAGGACTCACAATGTCCTGTTTTAAAGATTTACGCATCCTGCTCAATGTTTCCTGTCGGTTTAAGCACATTTGGCACGGTGGTGTGAGCACATGCTGTCCTGCAGATGGTGCTGTTCACCTACATAAGGCTGTGGAGAATCAGCTGATGGCAGTCTAACCATGGAAAGAACAGGTGATTTCAATTTAACAGTCACAGTTGATGAAAATCAGCAGATTTGTTACGTTTGAATGGCTTTAAATGCACTAATTCAGCAAATGTTAGCCCTTAGTTTAAGGCATATGAATGTGTTATTGATGTTTTTATACAACTAACTTATTTCTTCTTGTTTTACAGTGTATTTGAATAAATTATTATATTTTGGAAAACGTAACATAAAACGTATTTGTGAGTGAAACACGTCAGACAAGTCAAACATTATAAAATCTATCTCTTCAGGACTTGTTCTTGTGGTGTGATTGTCACAGAGACCTGATATCGTAGCGACTGGAACTCGGTTCTTTTGTGGCTTGAAAACAAGATTCATTTCTAATTTGTCATTTCTTTAACAGATGAAGGATTGCTGTCTTCCTCATCTTGCTCTCCAATGACTCTCCAAGGTGACAGGTCAGCTTCTTTAGTTACATATTTTGAGATTTTTTTTGCATTACTTTAAGTGATCTTAATCTTTTTAACCTTTAAAAACATGCTTTCCATGAACATATTCTAAAAACCCACTACATTCCCCCATGGAAGAAATAGTTCCACATTTTGGTAAGTACAAATACCAAACACTTACCAGACAGCTGGTTAGCTTAACTTAGCTTAACTTAGTTTAGCTTAATTTAGCGCAGTCTGGAAACGAGGGGATAAAGCTAGCCAGACAAATTAAACAAACAGAATGTAGCATGTCAATAAGTGAGGTTTAGTGGTGCTGGTAGGTGCATTTTGTCACTTTTGGACTAAGCCAGGCTAGCTGTTTCCCTCTGTTTCTGGTCTCTATGCTAAGCTAAGCTAACCAGCTGCTAGCTTTAGCTTCATATTCAGCATACAGACATGAGAGTGGTACCAGCCTTCTCATCGACTCTCAGCTAGAAAGCACACATGCATATTTTCCATGCTTTAGTGTGTGTGTGTGCGTGCGCGCGTGCGTGTGTGTGCGCGCGCGCGCCTCACCTCGCAGTGTTGCAATCCTCCTCTGAACACTTAGCTAAAGTTTCTCCCACATGTGTGCAGACAGACCCACTGTGGGAAATAATCGGAATTCCTCTACTGATAGTATAATCTACCACTCACACACAGCATTACAATACACCCGCTGTTCTGTCTGAGAGCACACACACACACACACACACACACACACATAGTCTACACACTCACACACACATGCAGTCATCTCACTTCAAACAGCATCTTTGGCTCAGATCAAATGAAGCTGCAGCAGTCTACAGTAGAGTGTGTTGAGGAAAGCAAAGGATGCACTGAAGCTGGACTGTAGAAAGTAGGGCAAGGTTTGTTTGGTTGTTTGCAGCTCTGCATGTTGCATGAACTTCTTGTCCTGCATTCCTGACCCTCATTCCTCCCCTTCACTCTACCGGCCTGTCACACCGCTCCTAAATACCAAATCAGATCATGTCACAGCTATGTTATGCGTCCCATTGAATCAAAATAAACCAGAACAGGTGCTCTTTTGTTTTCCAGCTGCGGGGGCCTTGGGTTTCCCCATGAGCAGTATTTCTGGGTAGATGCCGTAATACGGGACATTTGTAAAGTGTTTATGATTGCTCTATAAGGTCAAATCACCCTGGCACTGCTGCAGCTGCTGGCATTTCTGAGCATTCTGTAATCTGCTTGTGTTTTCCTTTCTCCTTGGGATGATGGCATGACGCTGGTAAAAATGTATACAACGTGACAACGCTGCCAGATGTTTTCAGTGCAGAATTTAAAGGTCGAAAAAACGTCATATCTAACACATAAACAACACATATCAGGTTTGTGTCAGTCCTTAAGAATATCCCACTGTGGATTTTGTTTCTCCTTTGGATTAGTTGCTACACTACGTGTGGCTCTTGATGCTAGTTTGTAACAACGTCTCCTCTCTGTGTCACCTGTAACCTCTTGCAACCTTTTTCCGGATGCCAATGAGATGGAGTTGTGGGAGGAGAGAGCGGCGAGCGATTGAGTGTAATAATACAATAGATGGAGAGGCGAGGGGTGGTGGCCTGGAGAGGATAGAGACAGAGCAAATAAAGAAAAAGGAGGCAGTGAAAGAAAGGAGAGAGGGAGGGAAGAGTGGGGGGTTATATGTGCTTAGCAATGGCCTTCAGTGGTGGAGTTCCTGTTGTTGTGGGGAGGGAGTTTCCCGCCGCACTGGCCGAGAGGAAAGCGACAGAGGATGTCTTTTTCCTGGCTGACCAAGAATGCCCGGGCCTCGAGGTCTTTCCTCCACTCATGTGTGTTTTTATACAAGTTCATGCCAGAGTTTTAATGCTAATGATACGACCTGCTGTCCTTCTGTTTCACTCTGGAGGGCAGCCAATGTTGCTCTGATGCATTAACATTTCAGCAAAGAGGCGAGCTCAGGGGGGGAAACATTCCTCCCAGAGGCACAGGGATATGTGCTCTTACACTACAGGTCGGACTACACGTCCCAACATGCTCCCCCCCCAAAAAAAAGGGGGCGGGGGCCACGAATCCCGCCAGCCAATGGCTTTGTGTCTGGGGTTCTGTGGTTGGTGTGTTGCACGGCAGCTGTTGTCAATGGCAACAGAGTTTTTCAGGGAAGCATGAGCTGGACAGCTGGTTGAGGGTCCCTCAGTCCTCCACCGGGAGTCACATGATCCCCTCCGGTAGCCAATCTCAGCCCTCCGCCCTCCTCTCTGCCTCGCTCCTTCTCTCTCATTTGCTCGCTCTGGCTCTCTTCGGGTGCAGCAGGAGGGGGAGGGGAGATGGATAGAGGGGAGGGAAATGGATACAGAGAGGGAGGGAGGGGAGGCGAGGCGACAGCTCACACAGGGAACGAGTGCAAGAGCTTCAGAACGAAAACGGAGAGCGGGACTCTTCACTCTGCGTGGTTATCAAGGAGAGAGGCGAGGATCCCACGCACACCCTGTTTGCCCTCCAACCTCCTACACCCGGAGCAGCAGGAGAAGGAGAGGAGACGGAGAAAAGGACAAGACAGGAGTGTTTGGTTGGGTGTCACTCTCAGAGACACAAGGAAAGGCAGAGCCATGCCTCTGTGGGGAGGCGCAGCCCTTGGCGGCCAGGCTGCCTCGCCTGTGTGAGGAGAGCACGATTGGATTGCTGTTGGGAATACTGAACAAGGAAAAGAAGAAGAAGAAGAAAAAGAAGGAACAAGGCAGACAGCCGGCTATCTCGTGCCATGACAGGGAACAGGAGGAGGGAGGAGGCTCGCTGAAATCATGGACCAGGTGAGGATGGAGAGGAGAGGAAGGGAGGGACTGAAGGGGAAGTGAAGGGGACCACCAGCTTTAGTGTTCTTCACACTCACACCTCGCTGACACAAAACACACACAGAGCAGCAGCAGCATTCATAACATCCATCATCCCTCTTTCCATTCCCTCAAGGTGAAAACAAACGGCACAGCACGCTGCTTATCCTGCGATGTGTTTTCTGCTCCCCCGGCGAGCTAGGTCTCACTCTTGGGGGGGGGGGGGGGGGGGGGG